TTAACTAGAAAAAATTCCCTTTGATAATAAAAAATCTGTGCAGATGCCCCTTCCCCTCAATCCCTCCTGCATCTTTTATTGAGAACACATTAATACCCAGTCTCTTGTTATCTCTAAGAGTCATGCTCTAGCTTCCTAAGTGGCCTCATATCCCCTCGCCCAGCCTGTCCTGCTTTCAAGATGGCCACATCACCTTAGTCTGGGGCATGATTCTTTAATACTGGAGGAGGGGAGTGGCATCATGTTCATAGAAGGATCTGCTCCTTTAAATTCAATTGGAATTTTTTGCCACTCTGGGCCCAAATCTTGCGTCACTCACAGCTAATGGCACAGAACTGTCATCTCAGGCCAGGTCTACAGTAAAGAGGAAGGTCGACTCAAGATACGTAACTGCAGCTACGTTCATTCGTAGCTGGACTCAACATACCTTGATACAGGTTTCCTTACCGTCCCCACAATGAAAGGCTGATGGGAGCAAAAACTCCTGTCAGTGTCCCTTACTTCTCATAGAAGCAGAAGAACCAGACACCAAGGGAGGGGGCTCTCTAAATTCAATTTGGCAGATCTTAACTAGACTTGCTAAATGGCACTCTGGAAAATCAATCGTGACAGCGTCGATCTTCCGCTCAGTGAAGACATGGCCTTAGTAAGTGCTCATCAGGCTGGAGAATACCTTTCCACAGCAACGGGTTCGATTGTCATTGGGACCTTTGGCACTACCATTGTAGAAATTTACTCTAACTACATAGGAATTTGCCCCTATGAAAGGAGAGCCTGAGGCTATGTCTAGACTGCAGGCTTCTATTAGAAGAAGCTTTTCTGGAAGAGATCTTCTGAAAAGACTTTGTCTGAAAGAGAGTGTTCACACTGACAAAGCACATTGAAAAAGTGATCTGCTTTTTTGAAAGATAGTGTCCAAACTGAATGGACGCTATCTCACATTTAAGCTGTGATTACTATGGACGGAATGACCACCAGGGCACCTGTGCTTTTCCTCTTTCCTCTTCTTCCAAAAGAACTCCCTCTTCCCTGTCCACACACGCCTTTTTCTGAAAGAGCTCTTTTGGAAAAAGGCTTCTTCCTTGTAGAAAGAGGTTTACCAATGACGGAAAAACCCCTCTGTTCTTTCGATTTTTTTTCGAAAGAATGCAATTGCAGTGTGGACGTAAGTGAACTTTTTCCGGAAAAACTCTGCAGTGTACACATGCTCTGAGTGGCGAAAAGGATCACATTTTTGAGCAGGGAAGTGCATGCGGTGACTATTATCCAGACAGAAGAGGGAAATGCTACCAAACATTTCCTGAAACACCGGTCTGTGGCAGTACTGTGTGTGAGAGGGGAACACACCCACAAGCCTGAATTATCAAGAATGATGCCTGGTTTTTGGTGCCCAACACACAACATGTTAAAGGAGCCTGTTTTTCAGTCCATGGCTTCTCGGCCCTTTCTGAATTTTAGGCCCCTTAAAGCTAACAATCTGAGTTTCTCCAATGGGAGTTAGGTGCCTACATACCTTTGAGAAGCTGGGCCTTAGCCACACTTGAGAATTTAGGCTACAATCTGGTATTGAGAGATTCAAAGAATATAGCTTATCTATTGTTTTCTGGACAAACAATTTTATTTTCGGTAATGCGTCTATACACTGTACATTCAGTCACTGTGGTATATAAGCATAGCTATTTTCATACATAATCTCATAAAGTCCTTTATTTTACAATATCTGTTTCAGGGGCGGGGATGTGGAAAAGGGGATGTAAAAGGACTATCAAGGTACACAGCGAAATAGATAAATATGCCAAGCTTTTTTCTTATTTTTTTAAATCAGGCATTTATAAACAAGAAAGCATACATTAATTACATAAAAATAGTTCTAGAATAGTAGAGTAAGTCATAATATTGTCATTAGCAGCAGCATAGGAGAGACCAGGATAACAAAATGTGCTGAAATGCTATTGGCTATTATAAATGTATAGATTTTTTTCCTCAATTGAAAAAATGTCATCTGTGAATTCTCTTGATTTTTAAAAAAACAAAACAAAACAAAACACCCTCAAAAACAAAACCTCCCTCTAAAACACATTAACTGACACGGGGAAATCAACTTTTTTTTAATAATAAAATACTTTACAATGAAAATAAGGACAAATAAAATGCAAATGATGACGGAAAGTTAACCCACATTGAAAAACTTGCAAAAGTTGTTTTGTTTTTTTTCCTAACAGACAGCAAAAATTCTTCTTAGTTAAAAACACAACTCATAAAACAAGACAACTACCAGGTAAGAAAGAGTTTTGAAAAAGTAAACACCATATACACTTATAATACAACAGTGTAAAATGAAAAAAAAAGTATTTACATGTTGAATTTACTTTTTTATTTTTTTACATTGGCTAGTTCTGTTTGAAAAGCAGAGTATTATGTATACTAGTTAGCTGCTCCATAGATAAGAATGTTATTGCTGTTGTTTTTTTCCCTTCGTTAAGTCATCTTTCAATATAGAAACAGTGAGTAATTAAACTGAATATACAATTATCTAGGTAATATATTTTTAATTATAGGGAGAGTCAATAGCCTGTATAAATCACCTCTTCTCCCTTTTAACTTCTTAAAGGAAACTAAATGGCAAATGCAAAGGAGGGGATGCAATCCAACAATTCCTAGGCACCCTATCAACTCAGGTGCACATGGAATGCAGCTGTGGTCAAAGTAAGAGCAAGTCTATCTATGAGGGATGATGTAACTATTTTATTTCAGTGCAATGTTGCATACACAGAAATTACACACAGAACTCCCTCAATGCGAACAACCATCACAAAAGTTTCTCTCACAAGTGTTACTACCATTCTAGAGACATTTTCTAGATCATGTGGCTAGGTCTTGGCACTACCCAGATATCCCCAATACATTGATTTATATCCCTGCCCAGAATTGCTCAATTAAAAAGAAAAGGACATGCTCTCCAGCAATGCCAAAGATTCTACTGTTTGCTCACTGCAAAATGTAATTTGGAACGACAAAAAAAAAATCAAATCCCGTTTTACAGAACTGTCCTATGAACAAGTTGCTGGTGTAGTTAGTTTGTTCCCATAGTCTTCTTACACTACTGGGGTACAGTTCTTAAAACTTTTTTCTCTGCATTGGTTTAAACCATAATTTAAAGTGATTTTCAATTAGGTTGTTTTCTCCAATTTAAAAGTAATCCTATTTAGTGCTTGATGTTCATTTGAAGCATAGTAAGGCTAGTAGTCCAGAGATTACACTCAACAACTTTATTGTAACACATCATGTGGAAAAAAATCTAAATTAAAAAACACATAGTGGCATGCAGTTTGAATATGGAGAATGTTCTTCCTTGGTGTTTCCTGATAAAGCTATTTATGATCTAATTTTTTTCCTTCCCTGAAAAAATGCAGAGTTCATTCATTTTTGAGGAAAAAGACTTCATACACACAGGAGAAGTTATACCAGTGTATAATTATACATGCTGCATAAATATAATGATGAAACATGTGATGTGCTGCAGGTGAAACGACTGTTTTTCCTGGATGAGATAAGTAGAGGCTTCAACATGCTGCAAATTTTTGTTAGGTCATAGGAAAAAGTGACATGTTCAAAGGATAGACAAAACAATAATAATAAAAAAATCTGCTTCAAAGAAGCCAGCATGGTGAAAAACAACAGGTTTGTTCTATGTGTAATTTCTTGACATGGCAATAGAGCACAACATATGAGAGACCTTGTAAAATATGCAATACTCAGCTAAAGCTAAATTATTTAGTTTCCCTTGAAGAAATAACTGAAAAAATACAGATGTGGAAATCATAAGGCTGAGAACAGTTTTATGCATATTGCATAACAAACCCTTTACATAAGACAGTAATAATGCCCATTAATGAATATACATATGGCAGAGATTTTAATTCCATGCATACGATCCTTTTAATAATTGCAGAAAAATACAAAGAAGCAAAAAACAAAAAAACAAAAAAAACCCCAAACCCACATAAAAAATACCCCTGCATAAACAATGTTCCTTTTGCATTGCACTTTAGAAGAGGAGATTTGCACCTTAATTCGATCTCCACCATCCCAAACACACAAGGGCAAAATCCCCTGTTTAAACGGACAATTTTAATTTCATGTAATTAACTTGGTATAACAATTTTTGTTTTGCTCCCCACAGTTCTGCATTGTCCCCATAATTTCATTCCTTTCATATACCTTCTCTCTTTGTACCTAAAACATATATGAACTTTACTTCCCATTAATGCTCACAGTTACAATGGTTATTATAATGGATTCAAGCAAACAGCTCATTTAAAAAACTTAAAAAATCTTTTATTTCTCTCTAATGCATGGTAAGTAAATACTATAATTTTAGGATTGGCAGCCGCTTTTTGTCTACTGGGAAATAATTTTCAAGCTTACACAGTTTGCATAAACGTCCAAAAAGAAAATAAAAGTTACCAGAAATATGCTTCACTGAGAGAATAACTTCTTGTTAATAATGATGCACAGATTATCTTTTTTTTAAACAGCTGAAACAAAAAAAAGTCAACAATTCCTTTACAAGATACTTGAAAGGAAAAATTAGCTGGAAGGCACATCAGCAGCCCCAGGTCTAATTTTCACTTTATGCCTTTAAACTTGGGTGCACTATGAGATGTGTTTGTTTTTTTAATCTACGTTTTCCCTCGTTCAGTAAAGCACTGCATACACGTGGGGAAAGCCCAAATCTCCACATCCTTCTACCAGTACTTTGTTGATTTGTACAATCATACAAAGCGAGTGTAAAATACTGCTACTAGTGTACGTGTATGGAAAATCCTGATTGGGAGGTTCTATCCCTGGTCTGCATTCACTTGGCTTGGGTGTGAATGATGACACGAGATGCCAGGCTGTGGAGAATCGGGCAGATGTTTTGAAGTCTTTAAAGCACTGTTCAACCGAGAATAATCAACCTGTAAACTTTACAACTGTGGAATAAAATGCAGAGGAAGATTTTGACAAAGTGCAGTTCTTTTAAAAATAATAATAAAAATAATAATAAAAAAGACAAAAGTGATGTAATGCTGCATTTTTATTCCAGGGTTGCGGCTTGGATCCCAAAATTAAAGTAATTTTTATTGTTTAAAAAAAATAAAAGATGTAGCCTTATTCACAGCAGCAAAAGTATCGTTCTTAGTTTTCTGTAGTATCGGGTGTTGCACTCTCCTCGGGCACAGTAATCCTGACAGACATTGCCGAGTAGGTAAATCAATACTGAATTCATGAAAAGATTGTGTAACAAAGACAAGTTCTCTGGAAAACTGAAAGCTGAAGTAAAGATTTCAGAATGACTTCAAAATGCATGTCTCTCTCTTTTTTTTTTTTTTTTTTTGCTTATCTTTCAACCAACTTAAGTTCATCCACCTTCTTCCTTGCTTTTATTTCTTCTTCCATTCTTTTCCTAAAACTGAAGTGTTCATGGATGAAGCGAGTCTTTTGAACACATCAGTTAATGACAGATAACTTTAAAGATTTTGGCGTGATTTACAAACACTGAAGTCAATAAGGCTGGGTTTGTCTCTCTCGAGCATACACTCTCTCCACACATGCACTCCCCTCCATCCTCCTTTCTTCATGGGTTTAGCAGAGGAAAATGAGGATCGTTTGGACAAAGAAAAAAATCAACTTTTGAAAAGCACTCTGAAATTCTCATAGAACCACATGACAGTATTAAAACTGTGATGGCTTCCTAAGGGGCGGAAAATTGCTGATGAAATGGCAACATCACCATAGGGCTCCTACAGTAAGAATCCCAAAGCCCGTAACAAGTCGTTTAAAAATTGTGCATCAAGGGTTTCTTTTTTATTCTTTTGTTTTGCTTTTAAAGGTTTGTTATTAAAAAAAATCTCATTAATTGTTTTAATACCAAGTCTGTATAAGGTCATCATTTTAAATAGCTTATAACAAAAAGTTTGTTGGGTTTTTTTGTTTGTTTGAATTTCAAAGTGTCCCAGCAAGCACAAGGACAACGTAAACGCACTGCCATGGTTGCTTGCCATAGACTCTGGTTTGAGTTGGACGATGCTGCTTCCTTGAAGTTTGCCAGTAGAAAATTTGCAGTGGACTGAAAAGTATTTAGTTTATAAACACTCTGTGTGTTATAGGCACAGTAAGATGTTGTGCTATATGGATTGAAAAAAGAGGTGTAAGTCAGTGCTTCTGTTGTAAAGAGTAACATTTGCCCTCCAACTAATAATAAAGTCCGTATTTATAAATGTGTGCAGAGCCGCACACACCCACTCACACATGCAGGTTCACACACACCCCACACATCCTCCCTTACTGTGCATATATGTCATTCTGTATCTGGATTAGATGACGTGGTGTTTGTTTAGTTCTCAATGTCGTTTGCTGTGTTCTCACTGCTGGCATGAGTGCTTGATTTAGGCCACAGTTGTTCCTGAAGTTCCTTGACCACTTTTTCCAAGTGTTCCCGAGCCTCCCTCTCATGCAGCAGGTCAGCTCGGAGCTGTTCCCTGTCAGCCTCGGCATGCTGAAGCTTGACTTGTAGGTCCTCAATCTAGAGCAAAAGAAAAGGGGGGGAATAAAAAACACACCATAGTATTTTGGTTTCATTCTGTCGTCGTGGATTCAGGCAAGAACTAGATCATTTTGGATCAATAACACACGTTGTTTAAACAGGCTATGAGAAGAGTGACGTAATCTCTTGCTTCAGGAGATAAGAGGATCGATGGCAAGTTCAAGAAGAAATTTCATGATCCCTCCTCTCCCCCCGTTCAGTTAGCCGTGTTGCATTGTGGGAACTGTTAGCCTTCTTGGAAGCACTTCACTATCTGGGATAGAGAGACAAGACCAGTGGTATGGTAGGAATTGCAGAAGAGTTAAAGATGGGAAAAACCAAATAGGCCATTTACTGAAGCCCCAGTCAGTTCTTAAGCCCATGGACTATTAAGGTAGTAACATGCCAGGACTCTTAGCTAAAGAGCTAATGTGACTCATTTGCATGCATTTTAGAGATGTTATTTCCATGATTTTCCAAAAATGCATTCTGATTGGCCAGCTGCACCTCCAATCTGGACACACCCCTAAGAAGGCCAACGGTAATCACATCTTACACCCAAAGAAGAATCCCTACATGGTTTACGGTAAATGGAAGGGACTCCAAGGAAGGGAAGACAATTCTAGTCATGTAGAGGGGCAGCTGGGTTCGAGATGTGGGGCTGAAGGAGGAAAGAAATAACCACCTGAAATTTCCCCTGTCCCCCCGACTCTCAGTCACAGGCAATAGCTCTTTGAGCCCCTCTGACAAACTCAGACTGGAACTAAGGCTGACATTTTTAACATGAAGGGTAAATTGACCATTGGAACAATTTACCAAGGGGCACGGTGAATTCTCCATCACAGGCCATTTTTAAAGCAAGATTGGATGTTTTTCTAAGCAATCGACTCTCGTTCAAACCGGAATTATTCTGGAGAAGCAACAAGGCCTAGCTCTATCAAAGGTCAAACTATGCCCAGTGGTTCTTAACTCCCAGGCCTCTCGGCACACAGCTGCAGCTCTTGTGACATCCCCAGGACCAGTACTGGATGAAGCCCACAATAGTAAAAAGTGGGGCTGTCGATTAATCACCGTTTTAATCTCACTGGTAAACAACCGGACACCAAATGAAATGAATTATTTCAGGATGTTTTTCTAGGTTTTCAAATATATTGATTTCAATTACAACACAGATTATGAAGTGGACAGTGCTCATGTTATAGTATTATTTTTGAATAGCTGACAGACTGTGAGTAAAACAGAGCAGGGCACATACAATTCTCCCCCAAGGAGTTCAGTCACAAATTTAATTAACACTTTTTTTTTTTTTTTAACCAAGAGTCATCAGCATGGAAGCATGTCGTCCTCTGGGAGGCTGGTTGAATCATGAAGGGGTATACAAATGTTTAGCGTATCTGACACAAATACCTCACGGTGCCAGCTACAAAAGTGCCTTGCATATGCTTGTTCTCACCCTCTGGAGACATTGTAAATAAGAGGGCAGCATTTTCTCCCGTAAATGTAAACAAACTAGCCTGTCGTAGCAATTGACTGGACAAGAAGTAGGACTGAGTTTACTTTAGTTTAGGCACTAAAGTTTTACCTTGCTTTGTTTTTGAATGCAGGTATGTAACAAAAAGCCCTACATCTGTTAAAGAGATGGCAATACATTACGGCTACATCTACACTGGCATGAATTTCCGAAAATGGTTTTAATGGAAAAGTTTTCCGTTAAAAGCATTTTTGGAAAAGCACATCTAGATTGGCAGGATGCTTTTCTGCAAAAGCACTTTTTGCGGAAACCTTCCGTGGCCAATCAAGATGCGGTTTTCCGCAAAAAAGCCCCGATCACCATTTTCGCGATCGGGGCTTTTTTGTGGAAAACAGTACTATGCTGTCTACACTGGCCCTTTTGGGCAAAAGTCTTTCAGAAAAAGACTTTTGCCCAAACGGGAGCAGCATAGTTTTTCTGGAAAAGCACTGATGATTTTACATGAGATCGTCAGTGCTTTTCCGGAAATTCAAGCGGCCAGTGTAGACAGCTGGCAAGTTTTTCCGGGAAATCAGCAGCTTTTCCGGAAAAACTTGCCAGTCTAGACACAGCCTGCTTGTATGAGGTGAAGGGAAAATACCATTTCTTTTGTTTCTTTTTCACAGTGCAAATATTTGCAATAAAAAATAAAGTGATTGTAACTGAAATCAATATATGTAAAAAATGTCAAAAATATTTAAATAGACAGTATTCTATTATTAATAGCATGATTAATTTTTTAAATCATGTGGTTAATAGCAATTAATGCTCTTAATCACTTGGCAGCCTTAGTAAATAGGTTGAGAACCATGCAAGAGGATCACAGCAGCCTCTTTTGGCCTCAGAGTGCTGAAGTAAAAGCTAAACTGGCAGCTGATCAAACTCGTTTTTTGACCAAAGCGAGCTGAATGTAGCTGCTGGGCCATAAACTGATGCTGAAAAGGCTGCTGGGCTTCCCACACAGGAATGGGGCCAGACAGCCCCTGGCTCCTTACTCAAGAGAGGAAGGGTTAGCACCTTGCAGACAGGGAGAGGGTTGTGCTCAGAATCTGGGGCTTGCCAGTTATGCTGCAGTGAGAAGACGTACCAGCATCGAGTGTCAGTCTGTGACAATCCTCGACAACCCCAGGAGCAGCTCAGCTCCTCGCTGACTTGGACCCCATCACCTCGGCATGCAGGGGTATAGAGGAGGAGGACTGTGCTGACATGTCTACTGTAGCTTAGCTCAGTGGCAGAGGTGACACAAACCATCTACAGCCCCCTGGCATGGCATGGAAAAATGAATGCCTTGCCTTCCTGGGGCCAAAATCAGACAGCTACTCTGAATGTGGCCCTGTAGGCGTTCCGGGGCCAACTTGTCACGCCCTTCACTAGGAGACTGCCCCCTGAACTCTTTTAAAGCCCTGGTGACAAGCCCATGCCTGGTTGTATTATGTTTTCTCGTGCTTGTCGGATGCTAGTTTCGGACTAAACCTGGCAAAAGAACTGTGGTTTCTTTGAAATCAATAACAAATTATGAAAATGCATGCACACGGACTCGCTCTCTTGCTCTTCCTGTGCAAGTCTGTCAGCTACAAATGAAGACCTAAGGACAGAGCATCTAAAATTTTCAGAAGCTCTTGTGTGTGTGCAAGTCCCATTGAGGTTCTCCAACATTTCTAGCCTCTTTAGTCACTTGTGACTATTTTAGCCTTCGGCTTCTAAGTCAGTTAGGTACTTTTGCAAGTGTTAACCCCTCGTGCTAGATACGTGTCTCTGAAAACCCCACTATTGGGGGAATATTATGGGTGATGAAAAAAAAAAGTTAAATTTTCATTCTGAGCAAAATGCAAGAGAGGACACACCTGCAGCTCATGCAAAGCTCTAGCCAGTAAGCAAAGTGTTTATTTTATCTGCATGGCCTGTCACCTTGGGTTTTTTTGTTGTTGCCGTTCTTGCCAAAGTGGAAGTCAGTTTCAGGTAACGCCCATGCCTCAGCACTCAGTCTGGGTATGTTTAGTCTGGACACCTCTTATCAGTGAGACATCCCGTGATGCTAGGGAGGAAGACCACATCATTTCCTGCTTCTGGTCTCCTGGTTAGGCATGTCTCAGAGCGGTACATGCCGACCACTCCCCTTCCCGTTATTGAGAGCCAGGGTTAGACAAATTTAGGTTGTTGCTTTTTGCTTTTTTCCCTTTTAAAGAGACTCTTTGAAAGGCTGCAGTTTTAAGTTTTGATAGTTGGGCAGAATGACCTGCAATCCAGCCTCTAAGGAGGGGATGTGTGTATAACGCCATTAGATATCATCTCATGGCAACAAACCTATGTGGATCTATGATCTAATCCTCTTGTAGTTCAACTGCATGCTGCTTATATACTCTTTGCACAGATGCTGTTCTGTGTCGGCTTATCTCTAGCAAAAACCATTAGGAATTTGCCCTCAAAGGATGCTAACACAGCATGAAACTGAATGCAGGGGATGTGTGTATAACGCCATTAGATATCATCTCATGGCAACAAACCTATGTGGATCTATGATCTAATCCTCTTGTAGTTCAACTGCATGCTGCTTATATACTCTTTGCACAGATGCTGTTCTGTGTCGGCTTATCTCTAGCAAAAACCATTAGGAATTTGCCCTCAAAGGATGCTAACACAGCATGAAACTGAATGCTTTCTGGAAGTTTTGGTGGAAGGATGGGCGGAGGTGGGGGTGGGGG